CAGCTCCATCAGAGCATCAATGCGGCAGCMGCAACGCCGCTCAGCGTGATCTGTCACGGCGATCTCTGGCTGAACAATCTAATGTTTCGCTCACAACCCGAGGAGGTCATCTTCTTCGATCTGCAAGCCATGCGACGCACCTCGCCCGTGTTTGATCTATTGCACTTCATATACACYAGCACGCACCGCCAGCTGCGCGACGTGCACACGGACACATTGCTGGCTGCCTACGCAGAGGCGCTGCGCAAGGAGCTGGGCCAGCAGCTGCGTCATACGCCGGCGGCCAACCAGCTGGCTGAGCTCTGTGAGATCTTCTCCTTGCAACGCCTCAGCGAGGACTATGTGCGTCACGTGCACTACGGATTGGCCATTTCCATGTGGATACTGCCTGCCGTCACCTTTGATCCCAACAATATACCCGACCTGGATGTGATAAGTGAGCTGAACCTGAATGGAAAAGAGATTAACTGTACGCAGAAGCTGACGCCCGAGTATCATCTGCGTATCAGAGATTTGGCCCTGGAGTTCTACGAGCACGGCTACCTGGGCGTGTGATTAGGTGCACCACTAGTAGTTATTAAACCCTTTAAGCCAAGTTGTTTTCATCTCAATAAACACAAGCAATATCCCTGAGTCCACTTTGTTACTGTTATCTCAGTGCGATGCAGTTGGTCAAGGGAAATCCCGTTATAACAAGGACATTTGCAGCATTTGTTGCTTCCTTTATTACCAATGATTCCTCACTATTGTAGCTTAAACGAATTTTGTTGATACGTGTTCTATGTTGGCTGGTCGTTGGTAATTATAATAAAAAAAGCCATGATCTAAAAGAAAAAACAGATGAACGCACAAGCTTGTTGGACGTTCCTATAAAAGCAAACATGGAATTTCAGCAGGGGGGTGTAGACTTTTGATTATTCAAACGAGCCACTGTCTCACTTATTGCCACTTCCGCCCCAGCCAAGGAAGCCCTTGACAAAGCCCGTGATGGAGGCACCCTTCTTTCCGGGCGATTCGAGCTTATCCTCCAGGGATGGTAGTTCCAAGTAGTTCATGGCCAGATCGAAGAACAGGGGCTTGCAGGGTATGGGCTCCATGTCGGGCGTCAGTTTGAACACATTAGGCGACCGGGTGTGCAGCGATTGATCCTCCTTATATTGCGAGAGCCGTTCGTACAGCGGCTTCGTTGTCTTCTGCGATTTGGTGGAGACGCCACTCGCGTCCTCGCTGTTGTCATCTTCCAGCACGCTATATGCAAGAGCCGAAAACTTGCTGCCATCGATTGAGGCAACAATTTTCTTGAGCTCCGATTGCAAATCAAATTCAGAGCAGGATTTGCCCTTGAGCGCATCGTTGGCGTAGTTGGACGCACGCTCGTACAGCGCCACTGCCTCCTTCCACTTTTTCATATCGATCAGAGTGAGCGCAATGTAATAGCAGCGGAAGGCCTTAAACGTGAGCGCCAGGTTGGCAACCTCGCTCTGATACTGAGTATCCTCCTCCATGCCGCTGATTTGCTGCATTTCGGTAACATTCTGCAAGATGATCTCGTACAGACGTGCCAAATCCTGCGGCCGTACGCGTTTGCCCTCGGTTTGAGCTTGCCCTTGCTGCTGATTGGGATCATCGAAGTTCAGCTTGGCCTGGGTAAATGAATTTATTAAHTTATTTGAAAGTGATCGACACCAGAGCTGGCTGTGGATAATTACCTGATCAACCAAGCACAAATTGCGCTGCAGAGTGCGGCTGTGGCGTATGTAGCTCAAATATGCCAGCAAGTATTGCACGCCCGAAACAGTTTGACCTGTGGTCAGAGAGCGTAGCTTGGGATCCTGTTTAATCTCATCCCGCACTGCCTGTATGGCATCCTTGCAATCCATCAATATGCGTTCAATCAGCTCAATCTTGGCATCCTGTTTCGTTGTCTTGGCCAGTGCTTTGTCCAGCTCCTGGGCGCTAAGCAAGAATAGGCGTACCTTTTCGGGACGGACGGTGACCTTGCGGCCACGCCAATCGATCGTCTGGAGTCCCTCGCTGCTCTCCGATTTCGTTTGACTAACCAGCACATCCAAGTTCTCCAACACGCCCTGAGCTCGCAGTTCTAGGATTTCATCGATCTTACCGCCGCTGGCGCCACCGCTAATGTTATAGGCACAATAGCGCAAGTTCGGAGTAAACTCATTCACCTTGGCACGATACAGCTCCTGATCGTCGTCGGGCAGYGCTTTCGCCAGRTTCTCGTACACCACCTGGGCCCGCTTTAAGTGCTCACCAGCCGACTTCCACAGCTGCAGTTCAAAGTGCAATGTACCATGCATCCAGGCCACATATGCCTCGCACTCAAGCTTCGTGCGCGCATCGAACGCTTCCGTCTGTGGTATAAATATATATGTTTATTATAATGTAATATCAACAAGTAGCCAATTTACTAACATTGCACAGCTCCTGTAATTGAAGAGCGTAAAAACAGGCGCGACGCAGCTTGTTTATTAAATGAAAGCGCTTTCGCGGCTCCGTGTTGGCCTCTTGTTTCAGCTGCATAGCATAGGCCCAGGCACGCTCCGCACTTATCAGCGGTATGTGTATGAATCGCTCGTCCGCCTTTTTCCCCGTCAGTTGGGATAGTGTTACATCGCGACGCTTAAAGTGACGTTTGTCGCCCTGGGGATACTTCAAAGCCTTGCGCAGACGTCGAATGCGGCGTGTGCAGTAGCCACGATATCGTTGATAATCGCCGTGTCGRAGACCATGTTGTTGCTGGGCATCCTTGATCATGTGCAGGACTGCAATAATTGCACCAAAAAAATATTGTTTTCAATTTCCACACATTTTTAGGTTAATTGTCAGCAGCTCCCGTGGTGGGGTACTTAGACTCACTTTCAACTGTGAAGATTTTCACTGGTTCTGGCACCAGAGTGCTGCTGTCACTTTTCTCCACAGCTTCTGCATTATTTGGACTTGGTTCCTCAACAACCATTATTATTATTTTAAWGCCAACAATACACCTACAACGTGTAAATATTCACGGATGTTTAAGAAATATACGAATGCACGACGGTCGGGTCGTCAAACGTAAACGTCATCATTGTTTTCCATTCCGGTGGTGGAACTCAATGAAATAAAAGTATCGATATTTTACATCACAAGTTTTTTCATTTATTTCAGCCGTAACCAAGTGATTGTTAAATTTGATTGTGTTAGTTATTTGTGAAAACAGTTACATTATATTTTTTAAAGAAACAGTTATTTATTAGGTGCTTATTTTTAATTGCAAAAATTATCTACACCTGCATATATCGATGTTATCGGTTTTCTTGGAGCTTACCCACCATTAGCAATCACTATCGTGCACTCCCTTTGAAACTTGTTGGCTGACAACGCAAGAGCGTGCGTTGACGTTCTGCTTGTTTAAAATAAATTTCAGACAAGTTCGCAGGTAAATTACAAGTAAATTTGTGTATAAACATAATCACGGCWCATTGGAAATYGCGGCAAGTGCCACAGCTCATTCGATATTTTGCTATAAAGCATTTGTTTTGAGGTTATACTTTCACTGCACGCAACTTGATTGCCCTGTCCGTCGCCCCTTCCCGCATTGCACTAGTTTTGTTTTGACGGCTGCTTTTGACATTTGCAACGTTGACAGTGCCCAATGCGCGGAGCTGAATGATAGTTGGAACATTAATAATTCAAATCACATTTCGCTCCCACCAGCATGTCGCGCAGGAAAGAAAACGAGGAAACGGACAAGCAGACGCGTATTGCCATCGTCAGCGATGACAAGTGCAAGCCGAAGCGTTGTCGGCAGGAGTGCAAGAAGTCCTGTCCGGTGGTACGCATGGGCAAACTGTGCATTGAAGTGACGCCCACGTCGAAGATAGCATCACTTTCCGAGGAGCTGTGCATCGGATGCGGTATCTGTGTCAAGGTATGCATTCTCTTCGCAACTACCTGCCCAACAGCTGTTAATCGAATTCCTTTACAGAAATGTCCGTTTGAGGCCATTACAATCATCAACTTGCCCAGCAATTTGGATAAGCACACAACGCATCGGTATAGTAAAAACTCGTTCAAGCTACATCGCCTGCCCATCCCAAGACCTGGTGAAGTCCTCGGCTTGGTTGGCCAAAACGGTATTGGCAAGTCGACAGCGCTGAAAATTCTTGCTGGTAAGCAGAAGCCGAACTTGGGAAAATATGCGAACCCACCGGACTGGACGGAAATCCTGGCYTACTTCCGAGGTTCCGAGCTGCAGAACTATTTCACTAAGATCCTGGAAGACAACCTTAAAGCCCTGGTCAAGCCTCAGTATGTGGATCAGATTCCAAAAGCAGTTCGTGGCACTGTTGGTGACCTGCTCGATAAAAAGGATGAACGAGATCTGCAAACGAAGATTTGCGACATGTTGGATCTGTCCCACATTCGCGATAGAGAAATTGCGCAACTTTCTGGTGGAGAGCTTCAACGATTTGCTATTGCAATGGTGTGCATACAGAATGCTGACATTTTCATGTTTGACGAACCGTCCTCTTATCTGGATGTTAAGCAGCGTCTGAATGCTGCCTTGACTGTTCGCTCGTTGCTGCATCCTACCAAGTATATAAATGATTTGCAAGCCCATATTTACCATGCTAACGTATTACTGTTTCAACAGGTTCATAATCGTTGTGGAGCACGATTTATCTGTGCTGGATTATCTGTCAGATTTCATCTGTTGCCTGTATGGTGTGCCCGGCTGCTATGGTGTTGTGACTATGCCTTTCTCGGTGCGTGAAGGTATCAACATCTTTCTGGACGGTTTTGTGCCAACGGAGAACATGCGTTTCCGTACGGAGTCGCTTACTTTCAAGGTATCCGAGTCGGCCACGGAGGAGGAGATCAAACGCATGAATCATTACGTTTACCCCTCAATGGTTAAAACATTGGGCAAATTCGAGTTGACCATAGAGAAGGGTCATTTCAGTGACTCGGAAATCCTGGTGCTGCTTGGTGAGAACGGAACGGGCAAGACAACGTTTATTCGCATGCTCGCTGGCAATCTGCAGCCGGATGGTGAAGTAGAGCTGCCAATGCTGAACATTTCGTACAAGCCGCAAAAGATTTCACCCAAGTTCCAAAATCATGTGCGTCATCTGCTGCACGAGAAGATTCGCGATGCCTACGTGCATCCGCAGTTCATTGCGGATGTCATGAAACCCATGAAGATCGAAGAGATCATGGACCAAGAGGTGCAGAACCTCTCTGGTGGTGAATTGCAGCGTGTAGCCCTGGTGCTCTGCTTGGGCAAGCCAGCTGATGTATACCTTATCGACGAACCCTCTGCATATCTGGATTCTGAGCAACGTTTGGTCGCCGCCAAAGTGATAAAGCGGTAAGTAGTTTACTTCTTAATTCAATTCAATTTCATTTCATGACGGTTTTTTAATTTACAGTTACATTCTGCATGCCAAGAAGACTGGCTTTGTAGTGGAGCACGATTTCATTATGGCTACATACCTGGCGGATCGTGTCATTGTTATTGAGGGTCAGCCCTCGGTGAAGACCACTGCGTACTCGCCCCAATCTCTGCTCAATGGCATGAATCGATTCCTTGAGCTGTTGGGCATTACTTTCCGACGAGATCCCAACAACTTCAGGCCGCGCATCAATAAGAATAACTCGGTCAAGGATACGGAACAGAAACGCTCTGGACAGTTCTTCTTCCTGGAAGATGAGGCTGCGTAATTATGTACAGAATTGATTGCCGTCAGCTTTGTTTGAGAACTCGGGTTTATTCGTTTTACTGTACAAGCTAATCGCGTTTTTCTCTTTAAAAGTCACTTTATCGTTTTATTGCATTTTTTAACAATGAACACATCTTCAAACATGATTTTCGTTATTTTTTGTGCAGAATTACAAACAATCGAGCATATTAAGAGTTCTTTAAAGTGAGTTTTTTTACAAATACCGAAAATAAACTATATATAAAACAAATACAAATACAATAGGAAAGAAACAATTTTGTATAGTCAAAATAAATTAATTTACTTTTTAGAAAACGGCAAATTTTAACTGCGTTTCATTTGTTGATGCTAAACCTGAGACTTCAAGTGCAACAGGTGGCAGCAGCGTTGCAAGTCTTGCCAGGTGTTTGAATAGATTGCATTTACTAAATAGATGAGTTGGCAAAATAATACGCATTTATTGCACTTAATTGTTAATTAGCATAGTACACTCAAAATACGCACAATAGATATATATAAATATTTTCATATAAATTACATAAGAATTTCTATGATTTCAAATACGATCACAATTCGAAAGAAACATTCAATATTTTTACCATTCTAACTACAAACATTTATATTAACACATGCAAATAGGGAAAGACAGCATAAGCTAGATTTTGACGTTATTAATATATATTTATGTATATATTACTCTCTTCTTTTATGAACGCTTTAAAAGCAATAAATGTACGCGATTCAATCAAAATTTACAAAATACCAACTTTTCGAAAAAGGCAAATTTTTTAAATTGAACAATTTTACATTTGATCAGCTGCTTAGCGGAGTTTTGTGTTTATCGTTAAGTAATAATTGTAAATTTGAAGACTTATTTTACTAAAAATTCCATACAAGTAAATGCGTCAAAAATTGACTCAAATTGTTAGACATTTGATAATCTTATGTGCAAGTTAGTTTCAAGAGAGCTTTGTTAAAGTACACAGATAAGGGAGATCGCTTGTTAATTACATCGAGAGAGAGCGCTTCAGATTAACAGATTAGACTGTCATTTCAATAGATTACAATGGACAATTAGGAAAAAATGTTCGGGCACTCTGTTTTGATCGAAAATCAGATCTTTTTTTCTTTTCTTTGATTCTTGATTTTGTTTCAGCAATGTTTTTAAATGGAACTTTTCGAGACTTAGTCATTAGTGTTGAACTTTCATACAAAATAAAAGTTGCTTAAACAATTGATTCAAAATGGCTACAGAAAGTATCAAAAATAAGTGTATATATGTATGTTATATATNATGAATTCAAATGTATAACTTGAAAGTTACAGCTTTCACCTGGGTTCTCAGCTCTTTTTCGCTTGTTATCAGCTCCTGTATTTGTGTCATGGTTGTTGCTAAATTGCCTTGATCAATCACCCAGCGCAAATAGAGTTCTTCAAATAAAGAAGACAAAATAAATGTGAGTGAATAATTCAATGGAAATAATATACAAACACTCACCGCTCCACAGTTCCAAACTAATGGGCGCCACAGAGGGCCAAATCACGCTGGAATTCGGCTCATACAGGGGATTAAGTAAGGTTTGCAGCACATCTGGTCGATTAAGGTACGACCACAAGCTGGTGGTTCTTGTGTGCACCTGCAGCTCGTGTCGCTCGCGCTCCGAGTTGCATAAGAAGGTGCCATACTGCGAGAAGTAGCTGTGCTCGAAGAGCAATATAAGAAGCTGCGTGCTGAACTCAAAGCTGCACGGAAACTGTGTAAACAGCTGAAATATGCAATCCAGAAAGAGAACAAAGGTGGCGCCCGAGTTCTTGTTCCTCAACTGATGTGGAGTGTAGCAGGAGTAGCGATGTCGCGCGGCGAAAGGATGHCCCGCCTGTATCCACTCACGCTCAATCAGTGCTTGCAAGCTGCAATGCATCAATAATTGTAGTTATAATATACGAAATAAGATGGGACATAGCTAACCCGCGCACAGTTCGGCAATCTGGATTCAAGATGATTTGCACCAACGACGTGACAATCAGGGTGGAGTCCAGACCCTTGGCGCCATGCACCAGCACTGGACTGCCCTCTTGATCCAAGCACTGGGCCACCACACACGAAGCATTTAACGAATTGAGCACCAGGCTTAGCCAGCCACTGCTCTCCAAACGCGATAGCCACTTGTCTGTACTGCATCCAATATCGTTGCAGGCTTCAATCAGTTTGGCAAAGCTGTCCAGAATGGAGGCGGGTGAGGTGACATTGCCGATTGCGCGATTCACCTTCTTCCACTGCGAGTAGTGCAGATCAGTTTCCGTGTTMGACTTGCCCTTGCCCCACGTGTCGACAATGAAGCCCTTTTTACTGCGTCCCAGCACAAGGTTGAGTATCGCCTCGTCGGCGCGACAGCGCTTGATACCCTGTATGGACAACGGCTGTGAGCTGCGCATCAGTATGGCCTGTGTGCGGGAAATAGGTTAATTCAATTATGTCCTTAAACAAATCAACAATCKAATTAAACTGACGCCGTTCTCATGCCTGTAGCTGAGCAATGGGAAACGTCCGCCATCTCGAAATGCAGCGGAGAGTGCGATTTGTTCATCGCTAATTGCTTTAGGTACAATCAGTGTGGCGCCATATGTGGGGCAGACGCTAAAGTCACTATTTACGTGGCTGATTCGCCACTCGCAGGCCGRCACAAAGTTGCCGCTTCCGCTACAGCTGCCCACTAACGCAGTCGCCGCGTCCAATGCGAATCCATTTTGCAGMGGATGGGGTATGCTGCTATGGCCCATGCCAACAGACGATGTGGAAGGCGTGCAAATTGTTATGTTTGCCACATTTGGTGACGAGGCACCGCCCATGCTCATGCCGCTGATAAGATGTGCAAATTCCAGCTCAGGCCTGCGATAAAGACTGTTATTATGAGTAATTTAATAATTATATTAGAACGAACCTAAACATGGTGAAGCCATCCTCCAGTATTGAGTACATGGGTCTGTAGAAGAATGGATACTCCAGCTCCACGTTCTGTATTGCACTGAGCGCCTCCAAGGAGGCGGCTACGTTGAAGAAGTCTTTGGCGTACTTGATCTCGAGAGATATAATTCGCAAATCTTTGCACTTTAGTGTTATGATGCCGCCCATGACAATGTTCTGGCCCATGCTCGGCTTCTTTTCCACGCAATCGATGTTCTTGTGCAGCAGCTGGAAAATGCACACAATAATTCAATTAACCGTTAACTGACAAAAAGCAATTATTCGCTTCACTGGATGCTCACCCATAGCTCCTGTGTGCTCTCCTGGCGTGCGCTGAGCAGTAAATGGTGACCCGTTATGCACAGGGTGCCTTCAACTGTTGCATTTGTTGCATTGGTATGCAGGAATACCCCATCCAATTTGGGTGTTTTTATCAGATCAGCGAACTCCATGTCATCCAGGCGYCCACCCTTCTTGACCTACACGCGCGCACACACACAAATTGCGACTGACCACCCACGGAGCGGTGATTCTGTTCACGCTAATTAACTTTCTGCATTTTGCCTGCGGAGCTGCCGCAGCGGCTGCTGGCTGCTGCTGTTGTTTTTGTTATCGTTGCTGCCACTTGATTGCTTCTTCTTCCGCTACCCGCCTTTTCCTATTTTTACTCTGCTGAGCCAGCAACAGCAGTGTGGCAGTTACAGTAGGATGGAAGGCTATGCTTTCATTATTCGGTTGCTGCACAAATGTAAATACTCGSCACACACACACATTAGCATTTAATAGTTTTTCTAAATTATTATTTTAAGCTAAAATAGAATTTYTGTACATTTTCCAAGCGATAACGGTGTGCAGCCATTCACTACGCAACGCGGACACATCGCGAATAATCCTCAAGCAGAAGTATTTTCGTGCAGGGGACGGCATTTAAAAAAAATACATACCAGCGCAGCACTCATGCGCGCGCAATTCAAATGGGAAACTATCGGTATTAAAATACGACTCATCAGGCTGTATATTTATATAAATATTTATTTATACGTAAAAGTTAATTTCAAAAGGTTTGCTTACAAAAAATAGGGAAGTTATCCGTTTTTTGTCTGTTCCATGGTATTGAAACCAAGCACAACACTCGTCAATATTTGTCTTTCAGGCTTATAAGTTAGGGATTTTCATTTGTTTCCGTTTATTTTGTATCCTTCGGATTGTGATGGTGTGAATTTAATTACCAAACATAATAGAAAATATAACTACATTTGTGTATGTWTTTTTGCGAGTACGCGTGTATTCTTTGTAGTTTTCGAAAAAAATTGCTTTTCTGTTAATTGTCACAATACGAATATATATGTAAATACTTAACAGCTTTAACGTACAATAAATGTATTGCAAATATACTCATCAACCAACTAACACACAGTTAATAGATGTGTGTTCTCTATATTTTTATTTTTGTTTCTTTTCGTATAAGATATCACAACAGGATGCCGAAAATTTCCTAAAGCACGAGAATGAGGTATAAATAAAGCATCTAAATAAARTAATCTAAAAAATAATAGCAATGATAATAAAAACGAAACATAATCATTGGCGATACGCTTTATTTTCTCGCTAAAACATATGATTTYCGATTCTTTGTACCAACAACTTAAGCTACGTAGTATAAGTAAATAAAATTATACTAAAATTAAGCACTTATAACAAAATTATGAATCGAAGTGCAAATGAATTATTTAGCAAAAAAAAAAAATGTTTTCTGGTTTTAAATTTTGTTTAGATTTAATAAATGTCGTATGCTTAGTGTTTGTATGTGAATATTTACATTATGCAACAGTAGAACAAAGAAATGCACAAAGAAATTGGAATGCATAAACAAAACGAAAAGTTTGTGAAGAGGAAGACATTTATGCAATGCAGAAATTAAAAACAATTCTAAATATGGCAATTGACAAAAAAATTATGTACGTAATGTAATTATGTATTATTAAATATAACGATTATGCAATATTGGAAGAGCTTTGGAAACAAATCGGTGGAAGTAAGTTAATAAGCTAACAAACATAATTTCGCATTAACAATTTACATTTTTTGCTTTTTGTTTTTGTTTCGTTTAAATTTAACATGAGAAATTAAATGCATTCAATAAATATGTATGTGTATGTAAAATGGAAGTAAATTTGTTCTTAACAACGCTTGGTTTTTGTTTTGTGTGCCAGAGCTTCAAATACATATACCTAAGTATATATGTATAATATTAGCTGTATGACAGATAAATATATATATGTAAATGTATATATGTGTAATGTGTAAGTATATGTAAATGTACATATGTTTGCATGTATGTGTCTGTAGAATTCGCTTTCACAATTCACTACAATTAATTTCTCTTGAATGTGAGTTAAGTGTATGTGTGGGTGTTGCCTAGACCAATCTTAAGTATCTAACTAATTTAGATAGTTGCAATTTGTCTACGCCTAGCATAACTGGTATATGTATTATATATGCATATATAAATATATATATATTTATGGATGCATG